ATTGAGGCCTTGGTATACTTGAAAGGAAGTGTGAGCAGCACGATGGTGGCCATAATTGGCGAAGAGACGGTAGGAGATCAGTGAGGCGGCGGCGGTTCTGAACTGAGCAGGTTAAGCGCTCATCGGATCGGCCACTTCAACATCTGTACCACGTCCGCCTGAAGGCGACACTACCAAGGTTGGTGAGCTATCTCTTACTTCTCCTAGCTTGACTTATCATTTATGATATTAGAGACATGTTCAAGGCCATATACAGCCCGATATAGAGGCCACCCAAAAGCCCGGGGCTTGAGGCCTTGAGGGCTGGGCTCGGGCTTGCAAAACTCCAAGCCGAGCCCTCGCGGCCGCAGTGTACGCGGGTTCTCATGCGTCAGTCGTCTTTTTCGTCTCCATTTCTTTGAAGCATGAATTCTTCCTTGGAACGCACTTGTTTGTATCATACATTCCTCTATATGCCACAGAAATGTGGGGAAAACATATAACTTCAATAAGTACTGCAGAACACGGCCAGAGAGGGCAGGCGAACCATGCATGTTTTCCTCGCCTAATAGGCGACACATATGCATGTTCTGTTGTAGAATCTACCTGCATTTCACTGTCTTGCCACATACTCTAACATATCGCGAATCATACGCATCTGGATCTCGGTCAGCTCTCCACTGTCACGTAACTCACGCAACCACTCATCTCGCGATGCCATGCGAGCGAAACCTTGGAGATATGTTGAGTCGTTGACGCCGAACCCAGCTAGCATTTCCGCGATCCATTGTGCGTCCGCTGGTGGTACATTGAAGGCTACCAGCCAACCAAGCACCTCCTAATACATCACCGCGCACACGATTGGTTAGTGCAGGACTGACAGGACCAATGTCGTTGAAGGGCATACCTCCGTGGCGCTTCTCGGGTCCGCGTTGGTGCCATCGCGTGAGTGCTGGGGAACTCGATCTCCGCTGGCCGCAGCAGACTTCCCAGCCACCGGAACTGCTTCGTGACGAGCACCATTCAACGAAAATTGCTTTTTGCGTAGGTGTAACGGAGACTTGGTAGAGGGCGGGTCCGGCAGTGGCCCAGCCTTCACGACTGGCACGCTCTTCTGATGACCCAGACCACCGACCAAATGGCAATTGGCGACGTTGTCAGGTTGCTTCTTGGTGACAACGACACGGCTTAGAGTATGTCACGAGACACGGTGGACCATGCTCACATCGTTGTCGTGCTCTTCCACCAGCCTCCCTTCTGTAGTGGTGATACGGTCTCCTCTCAGTAGCTGAGTCTTCAGATAGGCCGTCACAGGCCAGCCGTCCTCGTATCCATTGAGGATGGAGAAGTTCTTGACAGTCTTGGGATGATGTCGTTACCACCAATCAATAGGCTGGCCAGGTATACTAGCAGATTTACCTTTGCTTTAATCCTTTGCATAGTTTTCGAGTCTTGAGCATTGTAACGTATTGCGGTGTCAACGCCGTAGACTTGGCATCTCTTCTTGACGAACGCCTACGCTCACCGGATGCGGTGAATAGGCTCGTAAGAATGTACGTCGAATATAAACAAAAATGCGTTACGGTACCAAAATCTGGGGAAACTGTCTCATTTGGCGCTGCATACCCATAAGTGTTGGAATCTTGGCGTCAAGATGGCGAGCTCGCGGAACGAGCGCCACAGGTCCCGCCCCCCGACGGATACCCGCGCCCTTATCTACCCCTATTTAGCTACGTATATAAGCCTTATTGTATCTACTGCACCGGCCAAACGCGAATCCCATTTGTGCCCGCATCAGGAAAACGTCACGGACTTGGACCCATACTTGGCCCCAAGTCCGTGTACTTGGCCTCAAGTCCGTGTACTTGGCCTCAAGTCCGTGTACTTGGCCCCAAGTCCGTGTACTTGGCCCCAAGTCCGTGTACTTGGCCCCAAGTCCATGTACTTGGTCCCAAGTACACGGACTTGACCCAAGTCTATATACTTGGGGTACTTGGGGTACTTGGGCCATAACTTGGACTTTACATGTTGACTTCAGTATACTCAGGCCTCAATTTGAGCAATTGGTGTTCTATCAGTCACACATCTTGTATACTTCTTATGTAATAATATCTATCATAGACATCCATACACTAGTTGTAAACCAGTCTGTTTTAAGGCTGTAGAAGCAGCTTTATAGTCTATTAGAAGAAGGGCAATAACATGTGATAGAAGACTTTAAGTTGTTACAATGTGTTTGTTTCAGTAGTGATACAGAGGTACAATATCCAGATAATGCTCAAGAATAGTGGTATCAGTGGTGGATGTCCAAGTTCTGCTATGGTACAGGAGAGGATGGTGAAGAATTTCTCGGAGTCCAGCAAAGAG